AAATTTTATTGACTTAACTGCAGGTTAAGATTTCACTCAGCTGGCTTTCAGGAAAAGGCCCTGACAAGTTAAACAAGAATGATTTAAAAATATAAATTCAAGAAGCTACACAAATACTCATAAAAGGTTATACAGTATGTTGTATTTTTGAGATTACTTTTTTTGAGCCTTTTAAGTCAAAGAGTCAGTTTACTGATTTAAATCTGTAAACTGAGAACACTGTAAAATGATAGACTGGATTAAGAAAATGTGGCACATATACACCATGAAATACTACACAGCCATAAAAAAGGATGAGCTCATGTCCTTTGTAGGGAAATGGATAAAGCTGGAAACCATCATTCTGAGCAAACTATCGCAAGGATAGAAAACCAGACACTGCATGTTCTCACTCATAGGTGGGAACTCAACAATGAGAACACTTGGACACAGGGCGGGGAGCATCACACATCGGGGCCTGTTGTGGGGTGGGGGGATAGGGGAGGGATAGCATTAGGAGAAATACCTAATGTAAATGACCAGTTAATGGGTACAGCAAACAAACATGGCACATGTATACATATGTAATAAACTGCACATTGTGAACATGTACCCTAGAACTTAAAGTATAATAATAATAATAACAAATTACCTCAACAAAAGGCAATGCCAAGTAGTTACAAACATGTACTACCCAATCCTGCCTGAAGGTGGGAGTCTTCAGTTATGTAATGGCCTAGGGCACAGTGAAAAAAAAGAGTATTAGACTTAAAAGAAGAAACATTTTACCCCACTCCAATCTGACAGTGCAAAAATATAAGTATATAATTAAAGCTCCCTTCTCCATCTACAGTGATAATGGGCACTGACCCATCTATTAAAAAAAAAGAGAGAGAGAGTGAGAAGCCAAAAACAGAAGAGAAAGGTATACCTGAAGGAATTGGTTTACTCTACCGTAATGTGTTAGATAACTTAATGCTATTTATTTAGCCTGATGCTACTACAGTTCTTTTGGTGGAGAGATGGTGGAGTTACAATCATCAGGTAGCTGAATTGTATATGCTGTTACTTACCCAAAGGAAAATATTGAGGAAGAATAATTGGAAAAATCTGCAGTTGTCAATGACCCATATATATACTCAAAATGAAAGGGGAAGTACAAAGAACAAAAAAATGGGAGTACAGGCTAACTATAACAAACAGAACAATCAGATCAGATTAATGTCTAGATACTCACATCTTATGTTCTAACAAACAAAAGGTTAGTACTAACAATATGATACCTAAATGACATGTCTATGACAGCTATGATGAAACAAAAGTCAAACAGATTTCTTGCAGAAAGAAATGGCACAAGAAAACATTGGCACGCAAGTGCTTTTCATAACCATCTCTTATGAGACTTATAATAAATAGCATCTTTGGAATTATTTGGAATATATCTAACTGGTATGGCTGCTTCTCTTTATTTGGTAGTTCAATTAGTAGCAGAGTGGTCAACATGAAGGCTAAATTTGCCACACTGAGACCTCAAACCATGGTGGCAGCACTGTTTACTTCCATGAAGCAGGGAAAATCCCTATGAATGAGTAAAATCACTGTTAGCTTCCACAGGACTTAAAAAGCTTTTCAACTAAGACATGTCTACATGAAATTTGGTACTTAATAATGGGTATAGTTATATGTACTTCACAAACTTAAAGGTTACTAAAATATGCACATAAAAGTAACAGTAAGCAACAACAACAAAAAAGGAACCAGAAGTATCAGGGTACTGACTCATGTCCTGAAGGAGCAATGAAGTATGAACAACACTGCACCCTGTTATCAGGCATCTGACCTCTGTTCACTAGCGATCCCGCATTTAGGTAGTCCTCAAATTTACTATCAATGTAATCAATAACAGGCTGCCAGCTATAGAATGCAAATAAACAAAACAATTAAGTTGCAATTCTACACATGAATTAACTGATGACTGTTAAAGAATAATAATCAATATTTTCAAATACGCAAAATGAATTTACCAGTGGAAGATAGGTCAAGTTATTCTATATAAAGATTCAAAAATATAAATTATGTTGAATAAACCTTTATTCTTTATTTCAAAACTTTCCAAATGAAAGAAAATATTTATTGTCAAAACAGCTAAATTATTAGCATATTATTTACACTAAGTGTATTAATAATGCACTCCATAATATGAAAACAATTATATTCAGTTTTTAATTTCAAATGAGAGATCACTTTAAATGATATAAAAACTTCATGATGAACTTAGGAGTTTTAAGAGTTGACAGAAAAATACCTCAAAAACAATGTGAATTCAAACAAAACAAAAGTATTATTTATAAAATACTAAGATAATTACTTCAGACTAAAATTTCATAGATGCTTTCTTCACTTAGGACTTATGGAAAAACTGAAGGTCTAAATATCAGGTTTAAATGAGGATTGAGATAGAATTTATACAAATGGATAAAATTAAAGCAAACAGTTTTAAATTTCTTACAATAATGAGAATTCTATCTAGCTACGTTATTTTAGAATATGTCTGAAAAACAATTTTATGATAGGTATTATCTCCATTTTACAGCAAAGTAACTGGGTTCAAAGAAGTTAAACTTCTTTGTTTAACTTCGAACTTGAAGTTAAACTTCGTCAAATAAGTGGCAAAGTTGGTATACAAACCCAAGTCATGTTACTTTTAAGTCTGGTGACCTTTGCCAAGATGAGAAGTTTTAAAATGTTAAGAAGAGAAAGTTTAACCACCTCAGTACCCCAAATGTACTGGAAAGTTGTGAGGACAAACCCTTCTTACCAATTACTATTATCCACTGCATCTCCAAATCCAGGGGTGTCAACTATTGTGAGCAGCAACTGAACACCACCTTCTTTGATTAAAACTTTGGATTGTTCCACCTGTAAGAGTAATTGGTACAGATGTCAATATCATATATTACACTAGTGATTTCCTACCAGGGGTGATGGTAGGGACATTCGAGTTTATCAAAACCAACTGGGAAACCGTTAGCAAATTAAATCAACCTACTCCCACATTTTCTTTAGAATCAATGATTGTGGGCATTGGGAATCCAGATTATTTGAAAGAAAAGTGTATATACAAATAGTTTGCCAATCTCTTGGCAAATTGATCACAGGGTTTATGACTCATACTTGGTATAAAGAAAGACAGAGGAACTGATAAAATACTGATCACCACTAAAGACATGTAATACTTATATAACTTAAATGTGCATCTAATAATACAAATAAGCAGTTTGAGTGATTCAGTAATTCACAGAGGTCAAATGTAATTAATCAGACAAGAACATTTAATCTACTGTTTATAGTAAATGTCTTCCTGGACTATTCTCTATCAAGTTTGGCCCAAACCACTCACTCAAATGAACTTACTATCATTCCTTTCTCAGCATGGATGTAATTACCCTTACATTTATGTTATGGCTAGAATCCAGTCCTCTTCTTAAATGTGATACTCCACATTCTGGACAATGTAATCAGCAAAAGTCCAGACAGTTAAAAAAAAAAAAAAGTGTATTCTGGTAGGGTGAGATCTTACTGACTGATTATTGGACTTAAGTGGTAACAACAGTTCCTAGAACGATTTAAGATATTCCGTAACCTCAAGCTCTGTATCAGAAGACGTATTATCATTCATCCTGGGCATATGCTGCTGTTAAATGCAAAGTATCAGTTTTCAGGAGCCCAAGATAAAGGAAACACCAATTCAAATAAAAAGGGAATAATTCCCCCAGAAGATAGGCTTTCTCCTGATACACATTTATATCAAGTCCTTATTAAGGCTAGAGGCTCCAAGTATGCTGATAAGCTAATTTACAAGACAAAAAGTTTGGGACACTTTTAGAGACAGCCTATTTCATTTTGGCATGTTTTATAGATCTACCTGATGCATGATGTTTTACAGATGCTACCTGATAACATGCGGAGACTAAGCTTGCTGAGCAAGAAAAGTCTGTAGCCACACTATCCAATAACACTTTCTGAGATGATGGAATTGCTGTGTATCCACACTGTCCAATATGGTAGCCACTTGTCAATGTGGCTACTTACTCCTTGAAATCTGACTAGTGCAAATAAGGAGCTGATATTTAATTTTATTTAATTTGAATTAACTTAAATAGCCACATGTGGCTAGTGACCACTGAATACACAGCAGAGGCCTGTAGCAATCAAGAGCTTTCTGTTAAAAGAATTTTATTATCAAGAATAAAACTTCTTAAAACTGAAATAAATTGCCTGAGATGTGGACATGCATGACTTATCTTTTAGAGAAATGAGATGCCAAGTCTTATCTTTTAGATTAATATTCTTCGAACTGCTTTGATCCTGATACAAACTATCAGTGAAAATTTTGCAGATCCAAAAGATATTTACCCACCAAATATATACTTTGGCAATCTGAATATTAAGTATTAATATGTATTATCATTTATCTGTAGATTAAGAGTAAACGTCAATAAATAAGAGTTGTAATATTTTCTGATCATCCTCAGTATCAGCGATGGATGTACATCATTTAGGAGATCACTGTTACATACCACATAACTCAGATAACATGTCTATTATCAGGTTACCCTAATAACATGAGGAAGACAAAATAACTCAGAGATAACTCAGAGAAAACAATCAGATTCATCAGTGTGAAATCATGAGAACCAAAGGAAAATTTTTTTTTTTTTTTTTAGTCTCACTCTGTTGCCCAGGCTGGAGAGCATGGTAGATCATAGCTTACTGCAGCCTCAAATTCCTGGGTTCAAGCAATCTTTCCATTTCAGCCTCCCAAAGTGCGGGGCCAAAAAAACATTTTTAATGATATCATCTCATCTGGTTTAGGAAGTTTAGATTTTCTTTATCTGGTCATCTTCTAGTCAAAGGACAACCCAGTCAAATCTAACATCTCAATATCTTGAATTCACCTCCATCTCCTTTATAAAGACAGATCATTTATTCATGGTAACTGTGGCTGAAGCAGAAATATCCAAAGTAATTATACCACTCCTTTACCTACTTACTCTTTTAAATAACATAGTACTATATATTAGAAAGTAATACAACAATATAGTTAATCTACATGAATCATCTCCCAATTTTACTTCAAACTATTTCTGGTTCCTTTATTACCAAATGAAGCCCATTCTACCTTCAGTAACATGCTGTATACCAACTACACATTTTAACCTAACAGCTTAAATTTTAAGATATTTCCTTGTTTAAAAAAAAAAATCAGTTCAACAACTTAATTACTTATTGACTTGCTAAGACAAATGAAGATTTGTATTTTACATACTTTAAGGAATGTTTATAAAGCTTCTTTTCTTCTCTGGCCTAAGAAATTCTGTGTATCCATACATGGTCAAATACAAAGAAGTCAGCCACACATGGAAGAGATCCAGAAAACATAACTGTAAACTAGCGCCATTCACAGGATTCAACTGTATCCTATCATCGGCTTCTACAAGTATCCTCATGGGATCCATGGAAAACAAATTAGTTCAAGTCCAAGAATTTCAAACTTTTCTTAACAAATCTATTCCAAATGGCTACTTTCCCATGCATTTTCCATAAGCAGGTCATATCAACACATTTTATGGCATCACTCAGGGTTCTCTAAGATTAGTTTCATAATTTAATACCAAAAGAATGAATCAAGAACATTTTCAACTGTTTTTCCCTGAAAAATAAGTAAAACTAAAGCTATCGTCCATGTATCATCTAGGTATAATTAATCTACTGAGACTTCTTTTGGCATCTGAGATTCCAGAAATCCAAGGTACTCATTTTCTAATACTGAGTGTATACAGCATACAAGAGTATTAGTATACTGAGTTTTCAGTTTTACAGTCTGAGGAAAAAAAGTCAAACAGTGTTGATTATACAGCTTCATATACACTAAACTTTTCTAACTTAATGTTTACATGCCATTTATTAAGGTAAATAAAAAAGTTATTTAATTAAGAACATAACATTTTGAAGAGAGGGTTAACATTTTCTGTCAAGAGCTTGCCTCTACCTACACTTGCCCAAGAGGTAGCATTACAGCCGACACTCTGAAGAGACTGGAATGGCCTGAGATACTCCACTTAGCTCAAACACAAAAACTATCTATTTCCCTTATTTATTGGCTCAAAAGACAAATATCATCCTAAATGTTTCATCGTGTTCCACAAAAAAATGAAAGAGGAAGTGACCAATAGCAGAACAGTTATGCCTAAAGAATACTTCCTTCTCATCAAGACCCAGAACTACGTTACTGAGAAGAAAGTGATCCCAAAACTCTTAATTTGGCCTTCTATTCTGAACATCTCCACCCCTCATATCCCTGTCTCCTTACACTTAACCTCAAATTCCTTGCCCCTCTCATTTTCCAATAGCAACCTCCTTCCCAAAACCTTTATAACTTTCCCTTTTCAACTCAAATCCCATTCTGGATTAACCCATCTTTCTATTCTTATACCATAAAATTCATGACCTTCAACCTCAACAAGAATTTCTCTAATATTCCTCTTATGTGCTCCCTAGTCTCATGCCTCTCCCATTTCCCAGTAGGCTCTTCCCAAGCCTGTGCCTGTCACAATGCTCAGTAAAGTACCTCACATCACCACTTAAAAATGAGACCATTCCCAGTCTGTCTGAATCAGCACTGTACCTTCCATAGTACAGTGTGTGTGAAATATATCTTTTTCCTAAAGCTAATTTCTCAATCTATTCTAGGGAACTGATTAATTTCCATTTTAGATTCATCTTGACAACCATTTACACTATTTCCCCTCTATCTTCAATCTCTCATTTCTTAGAGAATGACTCGCCATAGGATATAACCATTCTCAGATCTCTTTTCGAAATCATCAAACCACTCTCTGAGTCCTTTATACTCACTCCAAGGTATTCCTTCTCATCCCTTCCTTAATAGACATCACCCACCTTCACTGACTCACTTACCACTCACTTCTCAACCCACTGCCATCTTGCTACCACTTCATTAAAATTTACCTTGCCAAGGTCACCTCTACAGCACCTTACAAAAGCATCTTTTTCACTAAATCATAACTGTTTGTCCATATTTTTCTCACAATTGTGGGATCTTTGAGAACTTTATGTCTATCATCATTGTAGCCCCAAAACTTAGTATAAGACAAGCATTCAAATATGTTACGTGAATGGCTCAAAAACTATCAAAATTGAACCAATTGTCAACAGGAGAGTTTCCTGATTGGGCTCCGTGAACATTTTTCAAGGAATCTATCAAGTATATTATCCTAAAGATGTATGTACTGTTTTCACCTTTTCTCACTTTCAAAACTTTTGCACCCACTTCATCTATAATAGTGATTTATAAAACTTCAGGGACCAGCTGGGTGCAGTGACTCACGCCTGTAATCCCAACACTTTGGGAGGCCAAGGTGGAAGGATCAGCTGAGGTCGGGAGTTCGAGACCAGCCTGGCCAATGTGGTGAAACTTCATCTCTACCAAATATACAAAAATTAGCCAGGTGTGGTAGCACACACCTGTAATCCCAGCTACTCGGGAGGCTAAGGTAGGAGAATTGCTTGAACCCAGGAGGTACAGGCTGCCATGAGCGGAGATCACACCACTGCACTCCAGCCTCGGCGACAGAGCAAGATGGAGTCTCATCTTGGAAAGAAGAAGAAGAAGAAGAAAAAAAACTTCACGGACCAAGAAAAAGTTTCAAAGGGGAACAGCGTAAAGTTTCCAACTAAGAACTTTAAAAAATCTAACAGCATCATTGTACAAAAGAATTATCTTAATAGAATACATTAAGAGAAAATTTAAATGGACTTTAATGTCAGAAAAAAGGATAGTTTCTTCCCAAAAAAGGACAGATGACACCCTTTCACTGACATAAAGTATGATACAAAAATTTTCAAATGCACGCCAGGTGTGGTGGCTCACACCTGTAATCCCAGCACTTTGGAAGGCTGAGGTGGGTGGATCACTTGAGGTCAGAAGTTCGAGACCAGCCTGGCCAACATGGTGAAACCCCGTCCCTACTAAAAACACAAAAATTAGCCAGGTGTGGTGGTGCGTGCCTGTAATCCCAGGTACTCAGCAGACTGAAGCAGGAGAATCACTTGAACCTCAGAAGTGGAGGTTGTAGTGATCATGCCACTGCACTCCAGCCTGGACAAAAGAGCAGGACTCCATATCAAAAATAAATAAATATAAAATTTTCAATGCAACAATATTATAAAATAAATAAAATAATTGTTAGCATGCATACAACATTGTAAGCAATATTTTTCCAAAAAATTTACCACTCAAATCACCTCTTAAACATGAAGACTCAAACATGAAGTGGAGCTTAAATGTTCAATTTTTTATTTCACTTCATTTTAATCAATCTTTTGGGAAAAAATATAAGTAAAAAACGGAAGTAACACGGTACAATTTCATTCCATTTGAAACGTTCTGAAAGAACTAAGGCAAAACACTTCCCTCTCCTCCTTTCTCCCTGACAGACACAGGATAAAATCAGTTCGCAGCAGGCAAAGAACACTACAGAGCAGTGGTTCTCAAAATGTAGTACCCAGACTGGCAGTAATACATTCTGAGAACTAAACAGAAATACGAATTCTTTGGGCCCTGCCTCAAACCTACTATATAGCAAACCATGAAGAAAGGGACTCAGCAATCTGTGTTTTAACAAGACTTCCAGGTGACTGTGATATGTGCTGAAGTTTAAGAAGCACCGGTATAAAGAATTCCAGGACTGGTGTCAGCTCACATCTGGAAATGCACAGATATAACTCAGGGTCCTGAGGTCCAAGATAAGAGGTTAAGAATTAATCTTAATGAGCTTCTATCAATACTGAAAACTTCGCTTGAATCAGAACCACTATTTTACACACAGGAGACTAAAAATCAGCTCTCTGTTCAGTGTACATAGCTTCTCATTCCTTCCAAGACTGTAAATGTGAACAAGCATCTCCTTTAAGATTACAAGTCTCAGCCGGGCGCGGTGGCTCAAGCCTGTAATCCCAGCACTTTGGGAGGCCGAGACGGGTGGATCACGAGGTCAGGAGATCGAGACCATCCTAGCTGACACGGTGAAACCCCGTCTCTACTAAAAAAAAAAAAATACAAAAACTTAGCCGGGCGAGATGGCGGGCGCCTGTAGTCCCAGCTACTCGGGAGGCTGAGGCAGGAGAATGGCGTGAACCCGGGAGGCGGAGCTTGCAGTGAGCTGAGATCCGGCCACTGCACTCCAGCCTGGGCGACAGAGCGAGACTCCGTCTCAAAAAAAAAAAAAAAAGATTACAAGTCTCTTATAAATAGGTAATGCCCAGGGATGAGAATACGAGATTGTGGTCTTTATTAAAATCTTGCTCCTTATTCAGTTACATAACAGGAGAGGATTTTATTCCCCATTTTTATAAACGTTTGTCTTTTGAAACTCAGGATTGTATGTTTGCCAGTCTGATATGTCTAGACTGAGATACAATACTGGTGACCACTCCCGTCTACTGTGAGAATTTATGAGCTTCTAAGGGCAGATCAGCTGCTAGACTACTGGGCTTGGTAAGGAGCCAGCCAACTATTAAAAAGATTACATTCTCATTTTCTAACTATATTCAGGCTTCTTGAATGACTCTGACCCTGTCCGTAATATGGCATGTTCTTTCCTGAGCAACTAGGCAAAAGAGTTTAGATGGTCTTCAGCTAGTTTTCAGTATATAAAGGAATATACTTCATGGTTCAGTCAGGAAAGAGGACTTCTACAGGATTCTAGTAAGGATCAATCTGGTTCTCAAATGTTACAAGTCTTCCTTTTGGTAAAGAAAAGATATTTTAACAGTGGTGCACAGGCCTCTGTCTTAAAAATCCTACTAGGGATATTCTCACCTCCATTACCCCTTTGTTTTCAAGATAAAGAGAGTTTCCAGGAAGATATTCACAACAGAAGGGGATATTTTTGAAGTGTTACTTTAAAGGAAGGTACAAAGGGTTTAGACAATTTATTGTGAAGCTAAGCCAATGTAAGAATTCTAATAAATTGAGGGCATGTCACATCTTTAACAGATGCTCACCTGGGGAGAAAATATCTGCAATATCTAAAATGTAGGGGATTATTAGATTTTTCAAACTTCTATAAATCAGCAAGAAAATGACAGAAAAATTAAGATTACCAAAACACTTAAATGAAATCTGAGCAGTTAATGAGTACAAAAGACATGTTCAACCTCACTAGAAATCAAATAAAATAAACTCAAATACTTTTATATCTTTATGCACACACAACAGCAATGAGTGCCTATGTCTACCAAGACATGCACAAGAATGTTCCTATCAGAAAAAACTGAAAACCCAAAGCCTTGTCTACAATAATTAATAAAGGATATACTGATACATTCACACAATGGAGTATTATATGACGATGAAAAAGAACGACTACACCCAACATGAATAAATACAGACATAATCTTCACTGAAAGAAAACAGATACGAAAAAGTATATGTATATAACATTCAAGAACAGGCAAATATTATGGAGAAAGCAGTCAGTAAGGTGTTTATCTTTGGGGGTTGTAATACTGAATGAGAGTGAGCACATGGAAGAAACTAGGGTTCTGGAAATGAACTGTATATTAATTTAGGTAGTGGTTAGTTTTATCTTGCATATCTAAATTCATAAATACTTAAGGTATTCATAACAGATATTCAAATTAAGAAAGTTCAAAGTTCATTTTCTTGCTTAGGTTTAAAATTTCCAATATTTATCACAAAATAAATAAGCATGAAGGATCAAGTTTTTAGAGCATAATTTTGCAGGTAATTTTAAATCTCAAGCCCTATGAAGGTTACCAAAATAAAAAAAAATCCTAAAATAGAGAGAAACATTAAAAAGGAGAAATAAGATATTCACTTCACAAAATTACTCCTTTGGGGTCTAGTTACTAAACTGCATCTTGCGGTCTGATATATATGAGTTACTGCCCAGAACATATAGGCTGTCCTTCCATCCTGGGCACTGGGACGATCACTATCACTTCTTCAAATCCAGCTAAAAGCATCAGTGCCTCAATGAAGCCTACTCCAGTCAGAACTGTTCACTTGCCTCCTCTCTGCCCGTGTCCTATATATTACCCAAGCAGAGCTCACCAACAATATTTTTAATCAACTGTTTAAAGCAGTGCTGCCAAACAAAAATACCATGTCAATCATATAAGTAATTTAAAATTTTCTTAGTAGCCACTTTTAAGATAGGAAAAAGGTGAAATTAATCAATTTTATTTAACCCGATACATCCAAAATATTATCACTGCAGTATACAATCAATATAAAAAATTATGGAGATTTTTTTCCATGCTCAGTCTTAGAAATCTGTGGTATATTTTATATTTGCAGAACATCACAATTCAGACTACCAACATTTCAAAGATTAATAGCCACATGTGGCTACAGGCTGCTGTACTATTTAATAAAAAGAGCATATCTAGAGTCTAGTCCCTTGCTCTATAAAGTGTGATCTACCATCCAGCAGCATCAGTATCACCTGGGATCTTGTCAGAAATGTAGAAATGCAGCCTATCTCTGAACTACTAGAAGAACTAAATTTGACAGGATACCCAGGATTGGAATGCATAGCAAAGACTGAGAAGCAGTAAATTAGATCACATATACCTTGGGAGTCTTACAGAATCGCTATTGCCATTCAACAATTATATGGTATTATCCCACTGACTAATATAGAACACAGTATTTAAATAACAATAGCTTTTCTATGAATCATGTTTTCTCTACACTGTCCTGTGCAATTTTCTGCAATGGTGAAAATCTTCACATATGGGCTGCACAAAATGGCAGCCACTTGCCACATGTGGCTGTTGAGCACTTGAAATGTATCTGGAGCAAATGAGAAACTGCATTTTTAATTTAATTAATTGTAATTGATTTAAACATGTGGCAAATGACTATCATACTAGATAGCACAGCTCCAGGGGAATTGGTTACTATGTTACAGTGTCATCTCTAGAAGCCTTAGGACAAATTTGGAAAGTTCTAGTCAAGATAATTCTTCTGATTAACTGTACTTCTTCTGTTTTTTTTAATTTTATGAAGTCATATTTACCATCTCACACTGGCTAAGGGCAAATTTGCATCTTACGTCTAAGGAAGCATAATAAAAGTTACAACACGTGCTTTGTGTGTATTAATATTATTCCAGCTTATCATCAATTAACAATACCAATATCCATACCTGTACAGTCTTTTTAATTCTATGAGAAGGACCACAAATCTGTGAGGAATAATGAGTTGATTAATGTCAACTTTCCCAATCCAGATTCGCCTAAAAGAAATAAGGGAAAATACCTTAAACTCACCCACTTTACCCAACCTTAAATATTCAACAGATGCTATAATCGAACTTGCTTTATGCAAGTACTTCTTGGTGGGACAATGAAATGACATTAGAAAATATGCTACAAAGAATAAGTGTCTTGTCCTCAGTTTCTTAGCTATCAAATTAAACTCATGTTTCTAAGGATTCTTATCAGCCTTCTAATTATACCACTTATATTCATTAAAAGTAATGTATCTACATTAAAAGTAATGTATCTAATATTCTACATTTTTAACAGTAATGTATTCCCAAAGAAAAAAGTCAGTCATTATTAAAAAATCCAACTTAGATTATATATCGCTGCTTCAGTGAAATAAAGTTTTTCTTTATTAATAAACAATAGTGAATGAATAAACAAGAAATCATGCAGCTATAAAAAGCAAAAATCTGCTAATACAAAGAATAATTAATCACAATGAAAATTTCCATATAAAATTCTAAACCACAAAAAATACTTTCTAATTTAGCCACCCATCAGCCTAAATATAAGGGTGCTTCTCCACAAACCAGAATCCAAACAATCTTAGGTAATTACTTTTTCCAATGCTTCTACTCAAGGTAGGAGGTAGACAGGAAGGAAGCTAGGGCATGATTTCTACTCTGACCACATACTCCTCTTTTTTGACTCTCCATGACTAGTCCAGTATATATACTCCAGTGTATAGTAACTATTACAAGTATACCAAAATATAAATGGTTTCAAGGTATATATAACCTAAGGTTAAAACAAATTATAAATCATATTATGATAATTAACATGGCACAGAGTTAAAGTATTTATTGTTAATAATTCACTTAGCACAATAGGCATGTTTAGCCTAAGTAACTATATCACAATACTTTTATGCCTAGGAGGAATTCTTTTTATATTAGCTCTCAAAAGATCTCAAAACTGAGATCCTTTCCAGTGGTTTGGGCTTACCCTTTTGACTGAGAGCATGCCACTTTTTACTAGAGGTTGATGTATGACTCAACTCAGAGTTAAGGATGAAAAGTGGGGAAAACAGCACCTGCCTGTACCCTGGTACATATTATATGATGTTGATTTATTTACTTGTGGAGTCAGGGTCTCACTGTGTTGCCCAGGCTGGAGTGCAGTGGCACGATCATGGCTCACTGCAGTCTTTAACTCCTGGGTGCAGTGGTGCGCACCTGTAGTCCCAGCTACTCTGGCAGGCTGAGGCAGAAGAATCGCTTGAACCCAAAAGGCGGAGGTGAGATCACGCCACTGCACTCCAGCCTGGCGACAAAGCAACACTCCATTTCAGGAAAAAAAAATCTTAAAGTTCTAGTATCTAAAATGAGCAAAATCGCCAGGTGCGGTGGGTCACACTTGTAATCCCAGCACTCTGGGATGCCGAGGTGGGTGGACCATCTGAAGTCAGAGGTTGAGACCAGCCTGCAGTGAGCCGAGATTGCACCACTGCACTCCAGCCTGGGAGACAGAGTGAGACTCCATTTCAAAAACAGAACTAGCCAAGCGTGGTAGCATGCACCTGTAGTCCTAGCTACTGCGGAGGCTGACGGGGAAGGATTCCTTGAGTCCGGAGGTCAAGGCTGCAGTGAGCCATGACTGCACCACCTCACTCCTGCCTGGGCAAGAGCAAGACTCCGTCCCAAAAAGGAAACACACACACACACACACACACACACACACACACACGAAAACAAAAAACAGAATAGCATCATTTCCTTCTGATTAGTTTGAAGGAAGTGAATTGCCTGTAAAAGTTTTCATTTTCAAAAAGAGCATTAAAATATAGTGTAAGGCCAGGCACGATGGTTCATTCCTGTAATCCCAGCACTTTGGGAGGCTGAAAGGATTGCCTGAACCCAGGAGGTTGAGGCCGCAGCTGAGCGATCCTCCCGCCTCAGCCCCGCAAGTAGCAGGGACTACAAGCGCGTGCCACCATGCCCAGCTAATTTTTTGTATTTTTGTAGGGACAGAGTTTCACCATGTTGCCCAAGCTAGTCTGGAACTCCTGAGCTCAAGCGATCCACCTGCTTTGGCCTCCCAAAGTGCTGGGATCAAGGGCGTTGCCATCGGGCCTGGCCCAATTACTTTCTTCAGTGTGAGCATGAGCGCTGGAATAAAAGCTCTCACTTGCATATAATTTTTTAGAGACAGTATCCCTCTGTCACACAGGCTGGAGTGCAATGGCGCAATCTCAGCTCGCTGTAACCTCAACCTCCCGTGCTTGATCGCTTATATAATCTCGGCTCAGTGTAATCGCAACCTCCCGGGCTCGATCGCATATATATATACACACACACACACATACACACACATATATACACACACACATATATATTTGTTTGTTTATACAGAGTCTCCGTCTGTTGCCCAGGCTGGAGTGCAGTGGCGCGATCTCGGCTTACGGCAACCTCTGCCTCCCGGGTTCAAACAGTTCTCTGCCTCAGCCTCTCTAGTAGCTGGGATCACCGGCGCCCGCCACCACGCCCGGCTAATTTTTGTATTTTTAGTAGAGACGGGGTTTCACCACGCTGGCCAGGCTGGTCTTGAACTCCTGACCTCGTGATCCAGTCGCCTCGGCCTCTCAAAGTGCTGGCATTACAGGCGTGGGCCACCGCGCCCGGCCAATCGCTTATATTTTTAAAAAGATGTTTTCTTCGTTTCCTGGCCCCTTCTACCCCGCTACAAAGTTTCAAAGACTTAATGCTATGACAAACGGTTGTCAGAGGTCAAGCTCGGGGGTGCATTCACTAACGCGGGGCGGCCTCAAAGGGGGCCGACCCTGCCCAGGATGAGCGGCGCCAGATAGCGGGGGACGCTCCGGGGGTCCCCGGGCCCTGCCTGGGGGACGTGTTGTGGGGCGTACGTACCCAGGCTCAGGTGAGGCGAGTGGGCGGCTGGGGCTCCAGCTGGCGCTGGCCATTGAGGAGCTTCTGCGCTACCGTGCGATCGTGCCAGCCAGGCGCCGGCCAGTTGGCGCGCGGCGCCTGCTCGCGCGGAGTATGGCCCTTGCTCCGCCCGGCCCGCAGGCCGAGAAGTCATAAAGCTCCTCCTCGTAGCTTATGGGTGGCAGCAGCCGGGCCGAAGCCTCCGGACACAGACGGGCCACCTCAGCGACCGGTTACATCCCACCTGGCAGCCTGTAGCCAACGTGCGCTCATGGACGCTCCTAGAGGACCCAGCAGCCCCGCCGCAAGTTCTGATCGGCTCCGCGTGCCTTCCGCGACGTCACCTACGGGCGCGCCTTCCGCGATGTCGCAAGGGCGCGCCTTCAGTGACGTCATAAGGTCGCGCCTTCCCCTGAGCCGTAGAAATGGGGCTTCGGTGACGTCACAGGCGCGGGTGTTCGGCAACGTAGCCGGGGCGGTATAGTGCCTCGAGCTGGGCAGTCTTCTCCTTAGAGGGGACCCTGGTAACAGCGACCTCCCCGCCAGGTCCTGTGTGTTGCTGGCTGGAGAAGGGTAGCTGAAAAACTCAGACCGAGCACAGTGTTTATGTCAGTCAAAAATAGAAAACTATCTGCGGGCGCGGCTGAGGCGGGAGGATCCCTTCAGGCCAAGAGCAGCCTAGCAGTGTGGCGCGACCCCATCTCTGTAGTCCTACCTCAGTCCCCCAGCTACTTGAACCCCAAGGTTCAAGGCTCCAATGAGCTATGATCCCACCACAGCATTCCAGCCTGCGAGACTGAGGTAAACCCTGTCTAAAAAAATAAACTATCCAAGTGTGCAACAGGGAGGGACTGCTTAAATAAAACAGGAGGCTGGCTGGGCCCTGTAATCCCAGCATCTTGGGAGGCCGAGGCGGTAGGATGGATGGCTTGGTCTCAGGAGTTCTAGACCAGCCTGGGCAACATGACGAAACCCCGAATCTACAAAACATACAAAAATTAATGGGGTGCGGTGCGCACCTGGCCTAATTTTTGTGTTTTTTGTAGAGATGGGGGTCTCGCTATGTTGCCCAGGCTGGTTTCCAACTCCTGGGTTCAAGCGATCTTCTCACCTTGGCCATGAGAGTTGCTGTCTGGATTACAGGCGTGAGGGACCGTGCCCCGCCTGGGTTAGGCTATTTAATAACGTAAGAAAGTGCTCGACCAGGCTCGGTGGCTGACGCCTGTAATCCCAACTCTTTGGGAGGCCGAGGTGGGTGGATCACCTGAGGTCAGGAGTTCAAGACCAGCCTGGTCATGGTGAAACCCAGTCTCTACAAAAATTAGCCGGGTGTGGTGGCACATGCCTGAAGTCCCAGCTACTTGGGAGGTTGATACAGGAGAATCGCTTGAACCTGGGAGGCAGAAGCTGCAGTCAGCCGAGATCACAACACTGCACCCCAGCTTGGGCAACACAGCGAGACTCCCAAGTTTGACACCAGCCTGGGTAATGTAGTGAAACCCTGTCTCTACAAAACAAACAAAAAACCCAGGCATAACTGTGTGTCCTAGCTACTTAGGAGGCTGAGGCAGGAGGATCACTTGAGGCCAGGAGCTCAAGGCTGCAGTGAGCTACAATCATCCCACTGCTCCCTATCCTGAGCAATAGAATGAAAGCATGCCTCTAGATAGTTAGCTAGCTAGCTAGGTAATTGATACGTAGTTTGCTATCAAATTTTTTCCCTAGTTTGAACCATGTTTTTGTAAAGTAGCATTCAACACATCAGCATTTTACAGTGTTATTAGTTGTTCATATGATTATGTTTTTCTGAAATACAGTATACTTTACAAAAGCAGTTTTGTCTTTCAAAGCACATAGATAGGTCCTCAAGTGAATTTGTCTACTGTTGGCGACCTTCGTACCATTTTGTCCACTTGATTGGAAAATTAATTTCAGGTCACTGTTGGCCTTAGAAGAAGAGCCCAAAGACAACAAGGAAAGGCGCTCGTGTCCAGTCACCTTATAGATGCATTTGTACCTTCCCTTAAGGTTTCCTTTGACGAACATAGAAGTAATCTATGTAGAATTGACCCGGTGCTGCCCTGGCAGCTTTGTATGTTAGGCCAAAGTTACATTTCTTACCTTTATGAGAGGCACCCTGGCAAGCTAGTGGAGTTACACATGAAGTCTGATCTCAGCTGCACTGTCCAGAGATGCAACACGGTCCAATCAAGTAACATTCTCTAAGCCCGTTTCTTTAGCGGTAAAATAAGAATAACATACCCATCTAAAAAGACAGCCTATTGTATTTGAGTGGTCTTTTATTTTCAACGAAACTGTGTTTAACACAGTAATTATTTTCATTCCCATACCACATTTGTGTTTTGTTTTCTGTTTTTGAAATGGAATCTGTTTTGTTTGTTTTTTGTTTTTGAGATGGACTCTTGCTGTGTCGCCCACGGCTGGAGTGCAGGTGGCATGATCCTCCGCTCACTGGCAACCTTCGTCCTCCAGGGTTCAAGGCTGCATTCTCCTGGCCTCAGCTACTGAGAAGCTTGGGATTACAAGGTGCCCACACCACACCCGGCTAATTTTTTAAATATTTTATTTTTTGAGTGAGGATGGGGTTTACATCATGTTGCCCAGGACTAGGGTCTCAAACTACTGACGTCAAGTGATCCACCCGCCTTTTTGCTTCTCAAAGTGGCATGGGATTATAGGCATGAAGCCCACTGTGCCTGGCCTGGTTTTTTAATAAGGTTTTTCTTGGCTAGGCGCAGTGGTTCACGACCTTGTAATTCCGCACATTTGGGAGGCCCAAAGGTCGGTGGATCGCCTGAGAGGTTGGGAGTTCAAGACCTAGCCTTGTCCCAACATGGAGAAAACCCTGATCATCTACTTGAAAATTACAAAATATAGCCTGGCGCGTGGTAGGCTGCTATGCCTTGGCTAATCCCAGACTTACTTGGGGGCTGAGGGCAGGAGAATTGCTGAGTTTGAACCAGGAGGCAGAGAGTTGTGGTGAGCCTGGAGGATCGTACTGTTGCACTTTCAGTGTAGCCAACAGGCAGCAAAACTCAAGTTCTCGAAAATTAAAAAGATTTTATATATAAAATGATATTTCAGCTACTTTATAGATGATGCTGATATGCAGCCAATCTTAATAGGACGATTACCTGACTTTTCAGGGGCTAAGAAAATGACAGTGGCAGCTGATCTTGATTCCAAATGGTCTTCTAATTTTTTTTTTTCTTTTTTCTTTTTTTTTCTTTTAAGGACAGCAATGCTTCTGATCACCCCACACTGAGAGGATACAAATGGCATAGATCTTCGGCTCACTGCAACCCTTCCACCTCCCAGGTTTCAAGCAATTCTCTTGCCCTCAGGCCCTCCCAAGTGCTAGAGATAACTCGCACGCACTACCATTGCCTGGCTAATTTTTATGGTTATTTTTGTTAACACGGACGGTTCACCATATTTGCCAGGCTGGTCTCGAACTCCTGACCTTAGGTTGATCTGCCTGCCTCTGGCTTTTCCAAAGTGTTAGGATTACAGGGCATGAGCCACGTGTGCCCAAGCCCAGATGTCTCTAATTTTAACATGGAGGATGTACTTGGCAGAGATCATAGCAGATGATGTTGCTGATGTATCCGGAAGGAAATGAGCATGGAACTCTCACGACAGCTGTCTTGAGAAGTGTGTGTGTGCTGTGCTTGAATATCTCACTGCTCATTTATACACAGGCTTTCTGGTGACTGAGTTAATAGTATGTGTTTCATAAATAATGTAACCATCTTTCTTCCTTCTTTTCTTTTCATTTTTCTTTTTTTACAGGGTCTTGCTCTGTTACCCAGGCTGGAGTGCAATGGTGTGATCTCGGCTCACCACAACTTCAGCCTCCTGGGTTCAAGCGATTCTCCTGCCTCAGCCTCCCAAGTAGCTGGGATTACAGGCATGCGCCACCACACCCGGCTAATATTTGTTTTTTGTTTTTGTTTTTTGTTTTTTTTTGGTTTTTTTGTTTTGAGACGGAGTTTCGCTTTTGTTGCCTAGGCTGGAGTGTAGTGGCACAATCTCAGCTCACCACAATCTTTGCCTTTCAGGTTCAAGCAGTTATCCTGCCTCAGCCTCCCGAGTAGTTGTGATTACAGGCATGTGCCACCACGCCTGGCTAACGTTGTGTTTTTGGTAGAGATGGGGTTTCTCTATGTTGGTTAGGCTGGTCTCAAACTCCCAACCTGAGGTGATCTACCCACATTGGCCTCTCAAAGTCCCAGGATCACAGGCGTGAGCCACCGCTCCTGCCCTAATTTTTGTGTTTTTAGTAGAGTTGGGGTTTCACCATGTTGGCAAGGCTGGTCTCCAATTCCGGACCTCAAGTGATCAGCCTACCTCGGCCTCCCAAAGTGTTGGAATTACAGGCGTGAACCACCATGCCTGGCCAGCCCTATATCTTTAAGGCTACACATTTTGCACTTGTTAAAAGTATTTGAACATACAATTACCCAGCTTCCCTTGTTGATGCTTGAATTTTGTATAATCTTAAATATTTTTTCCAATCTAAGCTTTATTTTATCCCGTTTCTTCTGTATTTGTATAACTAGGTGGCTATCTTCATTGAAAGTTTTTTCAAAAGCCTTAAAATAGATTATTGTTCTTGGCAGCAATTTGAAAGCTATTTGAGGAGAAGGGGAGACTTACAATGATGATTCAAATGAAGCAAACTAAAAAGTAGTGAAGCAAGACAGAGGAAAAAGCAGTATTCACTTGAGCACATCCCAAAAGAATAACATTTCAAATGTAACTAGAAAAAAGTATGCTGAAGTTCACAATACAGAAATAATTATTAATACTCAAAATAGCTTTAAAGCCCTGCTCAGCATTTGAATGTTGGGAATTGACCCGGAGGTGGCTGTAACCTAAGATGGTTCCTTCAGTAATGACCATTTTTTCTTTTTCAAGATGATGATTATTCCCCACCTTCTAAGAGACCAAAGACCAATGAGACACCACAGCCACCAGTCCCGTAACCTGCCAATGCTGGGCAACAGAAAGTGAGGGAGTTCAACTCTGGTAAGTTCTCAGTGAAATCCACAACCTTTTCCTTCATCTTCTGGACTGTCAATGTGACTGATGAAAGTTACAACATTCTCTGCAGGGGGAAATGTTTTAGCATGTATTACTACATTTTAATCACATCTTTGTAAAGCCAGGAGCATTTTGAAAGTCACGTTACAGACATTGTTTAAACATAGTTTGTATTTACCAAAGCATAGGACATTATATCATCTCATATTAATTAGTTAGTTGGCTCAAAATTAGTGCTAATGACTTAGTAATTCAGTGATTTCTCTTAGCTTTAAAACTTTTATTTCAGAACTATTTCACCTCTTGGTTTTCATTTTTGCTGTGTGTCACTGCCTGCCAGCTGCTAATTTATTAACTCCCAGTGGATCATGTGTCCTGTGAAGGGACTGAATGTTAGTGGCAAATTATGTTGATGATTTGTATTTTGAGTAAGCAATTTGAATAAATAGAACATTAAGCTTGTATACATTTTGAAAATAGTATTTTAATATTCTACTGTGTCATAGTCAAAATGATTGAATATATATTGAATTTATGTGTACTTTAAGTTGTTATATGTTTATGTTCTTTAGCATTCTAACTTGCAATTATATATATGTGAAGTATTTTTTTTTTTTTCTCAAGAAGATTAGACTCTGATTTATTGAGGCATCTGTTTGATGTCGTGTTAAGTGGCCCGGGCTCTGTGTAGGGGTTGAGGTTAAAGCAGGAAGAAGGGTAGTGAGGGGCAGGGGTGCCAGGATTAGATTGGAATACCTGGGGGTTCTCTGAGGCTCCCCAAGTTTCCCTGGTCCTGGCCGGCTGTGCTGCTGGCCTGGGCATCTGATGAGCCTGCAAGGGTGAATCCCGAGAAGTGAGTGGTCCAGGGGCTAGGGCAGGGACTTTGGAGTCACGCTGTTGGCTTTGAATCCAGACTCCTACACTTGGTAGCTGTGAACTCTCCATGCCTCAGGGACCTGCAGAACTGAGCTCTGTCTGAGCCAGGTTCCATCCAGGCACTGCAGACCCATCCAGAGGGAAACCGCCCCAAGTTGTTCACTATTCAGTGCCTTCTCAAGCAGACCCTTGTCTCCTTCTAGGCCCTCACATTCCAGTGGAGGAGACGAAACTCATCTGCCTCTGTCCCTCTGGGCGCACCTCATGCCAGGTGCATCTGTGGACCTGGGCCATGCTCCTGGGCTTCCAAAGTTGGAGAAAGCTGTCAGGCTCAGGTGGGTACATCAGAGCAGCTGCTGCCCTCTGGACACAGTGACAAAAGAACACTCTGGGCCTGGAGCCCTGGTCTGGGGCATTGGGCAAGGCTCTTGCACTTCTCTGAGCCATTTCCCCATCTGAAAAGTGTGCTGATTCTATCTCCCTGTGGGCACTGAGGGCTCAGTGTTAGTTTGAGAACCAACATCTGGGGTTTGGGCTATAATTCCCCTTCAGCCCCATAGCTGGGGGGAACCAGGGACTTTGTCGGGATACCCCAAGCATCAGGCCAGCTTCCTGCCCCTGGCTTGGGCTCAGCATCTGAAGTAGTCTAGGTGGCAGATGGTCCTGGTGAGGATTGGGGCTTTTCCCCAGACTGAGGTCACACCCAGAGCCAGAAATCATGGTACCTGCTCTGGGCAAAGGTGCCAACCTGTATGACAAGAGCAAAACTCTGCTTCAAAAACAAAACAAAACAAAACAAAACAAAAACACCTTGCATCATTTCAGGGGGCTCACACCTCCCTAAGGGCCTGGTAATTGGCCTGCTCTGGCCTGCACCTGGCCCCCAGGGTACAGGGTAGAGGTAACACCCCACCTTACCTGGTTTCTTCCTGCCAGGGCCAATCTTAAGACCTCAAGACTTTACAGGCTATCCCACCTCCCCCTCTGGCCAGCCTTGAGCCCTTGTGGGTCCAGCACATTTTCCAGGCTGTCTCCTGGTTGTCCTTCTGCCTCAAGGCCTGGCTCATGCTGCTCCCCCTCCCACTCACCAAGACCCACAAGGTCCACTCCACACCCAGCTCTGCCCCATCCCCTCGGATAGTCCTTTCTCTTTCCTCAGGTGACCAGGTGCATATCTTGGTGTCAGGACCTTCACTGCACCTGGGAATGCCTACTGGTCACCTCGGTGACAGGGACCAAGGCATTTACTTGATATGAGTGCCCTGGTTCACTGTCTACATGGCCAGGGAGGGAGTCAATAATAGACTTTTGACTTGCTGCAAGGACCAGTTCTCCTGGCCCCATGGCTCTAGGGATGGAGGACACTGCAGAAGACACACCCCTCCCTTCCCAGCTGAGAACTGTGGGTCATCTCAGGGCAATTTCACAGTCCCCACGTGCCCGACCCCCCAGCTCTGCAAATACCAAGCAGCGCAGCCTGCCTAGGGGATAGTGGGCTCAGGAGTACCCAGGTCGTCCCCAGAGTGCCCTTGCCAGGCCCCTCACCTAGCTGCTCTCACAGCTCTGTAGCAAGAGTTCTAACCTTTTTTGACTGGAGCCTGCTGAGAATAGGAGCTGTGCACTGTTTTCCCAGAAAGGCATGTACACGCTGTCCACACAAAACCTTGCACTGTGGTCGAGCGCAGTGACTCACGCCTATGGTCCCAGAACTTTGGGAGGCGAAGCCGGTTGGATCACCTGAGGTCAGGAGTTCGAGACCAGCCTGCCCAGTATGAAACCCTGTCTCTACTAAAACTACAAAAAATTAGCCAGGCATGGTGGCAGCCACCTGTAATCCCAGCTACTCTGGAGGCTGAGGCAGGAGAATTACTTGAACCCGGGAGGTGGAGGTTGCAGTGTGGTAAGATTGCACCACTGTACTCCAACCTGGGTGATAGAAGCGAAACTCCGTCTCAAAAAACAAAACAAAACAAAACCTTGCATCCTTTCAGGGGGCTCACACCTCCCTAAGGGCCCCGTAATTAAACCCCTTGGGCCTGATGGTGAGAAACCTTATCTCATTTCTTCCCCGAGTGATCAACCCAGGGGTAAAGAAGGAGAAGCCCAAAAGCAGGACCCATGAGAAGGACCCCCTCCTGCAGTTTGAGTCCCACTCCCTCCTGCCCCTGCCTCTCCTCTGTCCGGGACTACTCCCTGCTCTGCCCCACTCTTGGGGCCATAACCATCGGGAGCTGTGTTTGGCTACAGGCCCCAGCGGCAACCCTGGGCACAAAGTGGGCAGGCTCACCTGGAGGGGATCAGAGTAACATGGCAGGAAGTGAGGGGGAAAGCCACCCTGGAACCATGCATCTCTGCCCCCTGACGTCACTGGGTGCACTCCTCCCTCCACTCACTCAGGCAGTGGCATGAGTTCCATGGGAGTGATGTCCTGCTGCCTCTGCTGCCTCTTTTTCTTCTTGGGGCTACCATAATACTTTCCCTTCCCCAGCCCTGCCAACCTGGTGGGACATTGGACTTCCCCCTCACGGGGTCCTGGGGACAGGCCCATCCTGTATCACACCCACAGAGAGACCCTTTTTTTCTTCAGGGCCTTGGGAACAGCCAGGTTCCATGAGTTAAATGCAGATCTGAACCATACCAAGCTAGGATTGGGGTATACACTGTCCTCTACTGAAAAGTAGTTAGGGATTCCAACTAGGTGAGAGGGAGAGTGGGGCAGAGCCAGACCAGACCAGGACTGATCCCCTGGAAAAAGCCTGCCATCAAAGGTATTAGTGAGTGCTGGGTGCGGTGGCTCACTACTGTAATCCCAGCAGTTTGGGAGGCTGAGACAGGTGGACTACTTGAGGCAAGGAGTTCGAGTCCAGCCTGGGCAACATCGCAAAACCCCATCTCTACTAAAAATAGAAAAAATAGCTAGGCAAGCTACGCTCCTGTCATCCCAGCTACTCAGGAGGCTGAGGCAGGAGAATCACTTGAACTGGGGAGGCAGAGGTTGAAGTGAGCCAAGATTGTGCCACTGCACTCCAGTCTGGGAGACAGAGTGAGACTGGGCTGCAAAAAAAGAGAAGAATATGGCCTTAGCAGAGGGGTCAGCCTGGCAGTGCCTTCCCTTGGGTTTCTCCTGGGTAGGCCTGTGCCATGAAGAGGCACTTCCTTCTGCCTGTTCATGGCCCACAGCAAGAGAATGTCTGCTTCTGGGGGTTGGGTAGGGGACTGCTGGCGGAACTGGAAACCTTCTTCAGGAGGAGTTTTTTTTGTTTTGTTTCCGAGATGGAGCGTCGCTGTGTCACCCAGGCTGGAGTACAGTGGCGCAATCTCAGCTCACTGCAACCTCTGTCCCCCCGGGTTCAAACAATTCTCATGTCTCAGCCTCCTGAGTAGCTGAGATTACAGGCATGTCCCACCATGCCTGGCTAATTTTTGTGTTTGTTGTATAGATGGCATTTTGCCATGTTGGCCAGGCTGGTCTCGAACTCCTGACCTCAAGTGATCCACCCACCTCAGCCTCTCAAAGTGCTGGGATTACAGGCATGAGCCACCGAGCCCAGCCCCTTCAGGTGGGTTTTGAGGCTTCACTACAACACTAGTTTCCTGTAGCTGCTGCAACAAATTACTTAAAACAACCCAAATATATTCCCTTACAGTTCTGAAGGCCAGAATTCTACAGTAAGTCCCACTGAGTCAAGGTGGGAGCAGGGTCGATGCCTTCCGAGGCTCTGCAGGAGAATCCATTTCCTGGCCCTGGAGCTAGCATGCACTCCTCAGCTTGTGCTTCCTGTCTCAAATGACTGGAGTTTCCCACTATACCTCCCTCCGCTCTCCATCACCTGCTCTGCTCTTATAAGGATCCGGGTGAGTACATCAACCCTGCCGGTACAAGCCAGCCAAAGACCCTTAACTTCATTATATCTGCAAAGCCCCTTTTGCTATATAAGGTTATGTTCACCAGTTCCTGGGATTAGGATGTGGGCATCTTGGGGGCATCAGCCTGCTACAGCTAAGCCGCAAAACTATTACACCCTCCTGGTGTTTCAATGATTGGGAAAAAAAGGGTTCACTTTTTTTGCTTAGGGGTCCCTCTTAAACTTGTATCTGTAAGGTCTGGGGTCCCCCCTTAAGCTTGTGTTTTTTTTGTTTTTTTGTTTTTTGAGATGGAGTCTTGCTCTGCCATCCAGGCTGGCAGTGGCGTGGTCTCGGCTCACTGCAACGTCTGCCTCCTGGGTTCAAGCGATTCTCCTGCCTCAGCCTCCTGAGTAGCTGAGACTACAGGCGCCCGCCACCGTGCCCGGCTGTTTTGTATTTTTGGTGGAGACAGGTGGGGATGGGGAGTGGGGTTTTGGCTGTGTTGCCCTTGGCTCAAAGCGATCCGCCTGTCTCTGCTGCCAAAGTGCTAGGATCACAGGCCTGCACCGCTACACCCGGCTGCTGTACGGTCTTATTTCACACAGCTGAGACATGTTTCAGGAAGTTTGCTAAAAGACCCCTGGAGACCTCCTCATTGTGGCCTTCCTGTTACCGTGTTTAATTTGATTGAACTTTTCTGCCCTCCTGCTTTTCAGCTTCTCTAATAATCTCCCATTAAACCAATTCTAAACCACCAAAAAAGGGAAGTTTTTTTTTTTGAAAGCAGTAAAATGATGTGGATTGTTAGAATATAAAATATATGAAATAAGTCATTATATGTTAGTGCTGCTCTGACATAGGGACGTATTATTGAGAATCAACTTTTGCTCGATTTTCAGAGAAATGGAATAATCGTATTGCTGATCTACATAAGCAAGTTGAAGAATTGTCTGAAAGAAAATATGGTATGTCTAAACTGGAAAAGTCCTGTAATCCTGTGTTCATGAGCATTTACACAGTGGAGTTACTCTTCATCATGGGGGTATCGTGGACAGGCCCAGGGCTGCCGGTGAGTCATGCCTCCTTACACATTTCTCCTTGTCAGGTGCTTTGTAGTGTCTAAATATTGGAAACATTCTTTGTTTCTAGATTGCTGCAATGCTAAGGAAAAGTTGTATTTCTTTAATTATTACCGAAGTAGGTGGGATTAGCAGGCGCCCCAACCATCATGCCCCACCTCGATTTTTGTATTTTTACTAAGAGCGGGGTTTCAGCATGTTGGCCAGGGCTGGTCTTGAACTCCGTTGACCTCAGATGATCCTCACTGCCATCACCTCCCAAAAGTGCTGGGATTACAGATGTGAACCACTATGCCCTGGCAGGAATATTTTTTTTAAGAAGGCTGTCTACTAATGGAATTCCTGCCTGGAGAGGATATTGCTGCTCAAAGGAATGGAGTTGTCATTTTTTTATTAAAAGGTAAGACTCTTGGATTCCTTTATTGGACTCTCCTCTCTGTTCTGAGTAATAAATTTTTTTAATTGTTTGACAAATATTTATTCACCACCAGGGTTATTATTTAATTAAGTCTGAGTTATTTTATGGTTTTTGTTTTGTTTTTTTTTTTGAGATGGAGTTTTGCTGTCCTTTGCCCAGGCTGAAATGCAATGAGTGCGTCATCGATTCCATGCAATGTCTGCCTCCTGGGTTCAAGCGATTCTCCTGCCTCACCTCGGAGGAGCTGGGATTAACAGGCATGTGCCAACTTTGCCTGTCTAATTTTGTATTTTTTAGTAGAGTTGGGGTTGTCTATGTTTGTCCAGACTGGTCCTCGAACTCCCAACCTCGGGTGATCTGCCTGCCTCAGGCCTCCCAAAGTGCTGGGATTACAGGCTGAGCCACTGCACCTGGCCTATTTTAGGTATTTTTATCTTCCACTTTTTAATTTATCTGTTCCAACATTGAGTAAGTCATGCCAGTGTTAGCTTTTAAAACGTGAAGACTGCCCTCACTGACTGGCAGCAATTGACATTTTTTTCACAGTTTTCTGCTACTTTTGCTAAAAGAAAATAGTATCCATGTCTTGTTTTTAAGCCTGAGATTTTAAAGCCTATGTGGGAATAAATGATTGTTTTTATAGATGTGTAGAGGAAATAGTCTTGAATGCAATGTGATATTAAAGGGATCCCATTTAAGATTATTGTAATATGTTTCAAAGACCTGTGGGTTGGCAAAGTTACCAGTTTATTTGTGAGGACACATCTCCACGAAGAGCCTGATGAGACCATTTCTCTTATTTGATCCATATAACAAATTTCTCTGCTTCTGTCTATTATATGTTTTATTTAGACCTCTCCAAAACAGCATTATGTCAGCCTGCGTGCTATACCACTAGCGCTTTAATGCTCGATGTCCACTCTCGAGATTTTAGCTTTCTTGTCCTCTTATATTCTTATACAACTATAAATAAAGATTAGAGTTGTAGAATTTCATATATACCATAATTAGTAGTATATAACGTGGTATTTGTCGTTTCCGGTCTCCTGAGATGGAGATTGCTAGGCCTTTTATTCTTACTTCTAGACTTCTTAAGATGGTGCAGCTGGCATCGTAATATGTTGGGCATCTCTTCGCTCTGGCAATATCTACTACATAAGACCATGGATACGCTGCGGTTCAGTGTCAAGTTTATCTCTCTTGCTACTACACACTGGATGTCAATAAGCTGAGTTATCTACTATATGTGTTATATACAGGCATCTGCCATATCACACTGTCTCGGACAATATCATATACATATATAATTTGTCATATTTTTTATGTCACAGACACAATGTGATTATTTAAGCCACTTGTTCTGTGAGTGCCCTAGATCTTGTGTTTCATATCAACTTCCTCTGGCGGATCTCAATAGATGGTCGTTGGCAACTACTTAGCCTGCAATATATACAAACGTGGGAGTGGCCCGCGGTACATCACTATGCGCCAAATAGAGCGTGACTAGGGGATTTCACTACTGTGGAATGGATTAGTAGCCTCGACACTGTGCCGGCAGGTCTGTGCTTCTTGGATTTTCATTGTGTTCAACATACTACCTCATTTACGTGTCTTGTAACGGAGCTTTGGTGATGAAATGTTAAATATGTACTA